TAGGGTTTAGAGATAATTATAAATGAGAACAATTTTTGTGAAAAATATAGGTATTTATAGAGGCAAAGCTGAAACAAACATGTTTGACCCGAACTAGGAAACCTAGTCTAACTAGGAAAATAGTCTTTGATATTTTGACTATAACTTTCTTGTTCGACCACGGAATGAGGTGATTTAAGATTTTTTCGAAAGATATTGAAGAGGCCTATAAATTTTATATTTTGAGTTTTTCCATATTCGAATTGCATCGGTATGTAAAATATAAACACTCTTAACTGGTCGTTTTTTCCCCGATTTCAGGTTCATGCATGTAGTGCATGATTTCAGTCTATATTCACATATATACACTAAATTGATCTTAAATCAATTCCTAGCATACTCAAACATTAATAAATATTGTTTATCACCATATAACTTATTTATTATTGTTTATCACAATATATTCAAATTTATGGGGTTTAACAATTTCCTCGTAAAATAAGAATTGAGGAAATAAAGAATCCTAGTTCATCATCTACAGTTAATGAATTATTTGTTCGAAGGAGAATTTTGCCTATTATATAAGACATACCAAATCAATTTATTGAACAATTAATTCAAAATGAAATAGATGACGAACTTCCTCAGGTTGAGGAAATTCATGAGGTATCGGTTATCCAAAATCAAGAAAATTTGGATATTCAAGTTGAATTAAGAAGATCTAATAGAATCAGAAAACCAACAATACCTAATGATTACGTTGTATATCTTCAAGAGTCTAACACTGATGTAGGATCTAAAAATGATCCTACTTCATTTTTAGAAGCCATTAATGGAGAAAATTATAATTTATGGCTTGATGCCATGAAAGAAGAATTAGAGTCTATAGAAAAGAATTAAGTATAGGATCTCATTGAATTACCGAAAGGAGTCTCAGTTGTTAATTATAAATGGATATTCAAAACAAAACGAGACTCATTTGGTAAAGTTGAACGATATAAAGCCAGACTTGTAGCCAAAGGGTTCACCCAAAAGGAAGGCATTGATTTCCATGAAACATTTTCTCATGTTTCTTCTAAGGATTCTTTAAGAATAATTATGGCATTAGTAGCTCATATGGATTTAGAGTTACATCAAATGGATATGAAGACGACTTTTCTAAATGGTGATCTTGAGGAAGAAGTATACATGAGACAACCCGAAGGATTTACTTTTGGGTAAAAAGATCAATTATATTGCAAGCTAAATAAATCATTATATAGGCTTAAATAAGCTTCCCGTCAATAGCATATAAAATTCCATAATACAATTCTTCAATTTGGTTTTATAAAGAATATTATGGATGAATACATATATGTTAAAATCAGTGGGAGTAAATTTTTTGTATTAGTTCTATATGTTGAAGATATATTACTTGCATGTAATTATAATGACCTATTATATGAGACTAAAAGTTACTTGTCACAAAACTTTGAAATGAAGGATTTAGGTGAAGCCTCTTAAGTCATTGGCATAGAGATTCATAGAGATAGATCCCTAAGAAAATTAGGATTATCTCAAAAGGCTTACATTAACAAAGTTTTGGATAGATTTAGAATGCAGAATTGTGCATCTAAAGATGCATCTATTTCCAAAGGTGACAAGTGTTTGGGTGGAAAGTTGATGTTTTTATTGTGTAACTTATTACAACTTTAGTCGTTACAATAAGTTTAAAAGTCTGATCTTTTTATAAGATCTCCCTACATAATAAAATAAAGAAATTACAACTCTTCTCAAACAAACACAGAGGATGTTTATCACCCGCTGCTTGCGTAGAATCTTTGCATGTACCAGGGATGTTAATATTCATGGACTACTAAGCGATCAGATCAATCAGGAGTTTCGTTGATTCGTGAAGGAATCAAGAAACCGAAGTAATTATCTCGGTAACAATGAGATAACCACTCTTCTCGAGGGAAGAAATCGGGCAATGGATCTAATGAACTCCTCTTTCTTATGTCGAAGAACTCGATCCGATCTTCTCCTCCTCTCTAAAATTCGTGCTCCTCAGTCTCTGATTCAGCAGGGCTTCGCCAAGGCTCGAGAATTCCAGATCTGTCTAAATAAAGGCCCTAAGGCTGTATTTATAGGTTTCAAGAGCTCTGTTTTTGGATAAGAATGGTCGATTTACTCTTATCCTTAGTTATAACTACTTTACCACGTTCTAGGATAACATTAGATCAGTTGGAACAAATCCAGCCGGTTAACAGGCGAAAACGGCTTCGAAACAGCTTTTTAGGCTGGCGGACACTCGAAGTGTCTCGGTCTTGGCCGAGACACTTGGAGTGTCTCGGCCTTGGCCAAGACACTTGAAGTGTCTCTGCTAAGGCCCGAGGTGTCTCGGCCTTAGCCGAGACAGTCAGAGTATCTCTTCTTGTTTTGCCTCTAACTCTCTCATATGACATCCAAATAAAATGATTCAAGATGCATTGGAAAGCTGACGAAGTTATCTACAAGTTTCATTTTTTAAGTTTCTTCATATTCAAATCGAAGAATGGCCAAAATCTACATTCTTCTCCAAGATATAAACACTGTCTCGGAATTCCGAAGCAGTTTGTACTATCTTTGGTATTTTGACTTTATCTCTCTCATCTGATCTTAGAATGAGTTATTCCAAGATGAGTTGTAAATCTAACCAGGAGATATACAACTGTTATCTTTTAATCTTCTTCAGATTCAAAGCGAGACAGTCTCTACCAGGACCGAGACAGTCCAACTGTCTCGGCCTTGGTCGAGACAGTGCAAGTGTCTCTCCATTGTTTTGCCTCTAACTCTCTCATACAACCTCTGAATGAGTTAATCTAAGATAAATTGTAAGTTAATGAGGAGATCTATAACTTTTATCTTTTGAGCTTCTTCAGATTCAAAGCGAGACAGTCTCTACTAGGACCGAGACAGTTCAACTGTCTCGGTCTTGGCCAAGATAGTGCAAGTATCTCTCTGTTGTTTTGCCTCTAACTCTCTCATCTAATCTCAGGATGGAGTTATTTAGGATGCGTTGGAAAGAGGGAGGAGAAATATACAACTTTCATCTTTTGAGCTTCTTTATATTCAAAGCGAGACAGTCTCTACCAGGGCCGAGACAGTCCAATCCTGGCTAAGACAGTCTCGACCCTAGCTGAGACACTAGCCTTATTTTGATTCTAACTTTCTCGTACGATCTCAGAATAAAGTGATCCAAGGTGTATTAGAAAGCTCGCAAAATGATCTACAATCTTCCATTGCCAAGACACCCATGGGATGAGCAAGATACGACTGACGCTTCATCCTTTATGATCAAAACATCAATCCCGCTTGAGTTGTTTCATCATCATTAATTTGACCATCTCATTGACTTGTACGCCTGGTCAACTTGCTTCATGCATTTGTTGACATCAGATAATTCTCTTTAACTTGGATAATAACATTCATCATCTTCTCTTTGTCTCGAGTTGCGTGCGGTAACCTATAGGTAATTTTTGACACCTACAATAAGTTTAGTTTGGACCAATGTCCAAGCAATGTTTCAGAACTAAAAGAAATGGAAAAAATTCCATATGCTTATGCAGTTAGAAGTCTTATGTATGCGGTTGTTTGCACAAGACTGTATCTTACTTTTTCAGTAGGAATGTTGGGAAGGTATCAAAATAATCCTGGAATGACTCATTGGAAAGCTGGCAAGAGGATAATGAGGTACCTAAAAGGTACTAAAGATTATAGGCTCACATATAGTTATTCAAATCATTTGGAAATGATTGGATATACAGATTATGATTGGGTTGATTACGAGAATACAAGAAAATCTACTTTAGGATATATTTTTCTACTTGCTAGAGGTGCAATATCCTAAAAAAGTATGAAACAAAGTTTAGTTGCATCATCGACTATGGAAGCAGAATTTATAAGTTGATACGAGGCATCATCACAGGCATCATGGTTGAGGTATTTTGTTGTGGAGCTTAAAGTGGTTGATCTCATTTCAAAACCATTGCTTATTTATTGTGACAACACCTCTACGATTGCATTTACTAACAACAATAAAAGCGGAAGTCGATCGAAATACATTGACATCAAGTTCCTTAAAGCTAAAGGTCGAGTTCGTGATCACATTGTTAAGTTTGAACACAGAAGAACAGAATTCATGATTGATGACCCATTGACTAAAGCTATACCAGTCATTCCATTTAAGGGTCATGTAAGCAACATGGTGCTCGTTAATGTTTAAGTGTTTGTTATGTTTTATGTCTAGACATATTTGATGTTGTAGTGTTTTATATTCATGAAAAATAAAGTGTATACATTATGTTTAAGTCATGTGTTTATTGCTATTTAAGCATATAAAGTGTGACTCAAAGTTATATGTACATAAATATATATATGAAGCTTCTCAAGAATTGATTATTTTGCTTATTCAATTGCAACAAATTGTTTGGCCATAAAATATAGTTGCAATATTGTTATGTCATTAGAACATTAATAGAATATTTGAGTCTAGTGGGAGAATGTTAGAATTTCACTAGTAGAAAAATGGGCATCCTTGACGGGCTTTCCCGTCAGGGATGCTAAATTTCCTGTCAGGGATTGTACGCGAGATGGTTGTGGAGATTGTTGTGAAATTTGGATTGCATATATTTCGAATGTAGTGTAGGGATTGTATACAGTAAATTTTGCATAAAATCAAAATATTTTTTTTTGGTGATTATATAACATCCCTGACGGCATTCCCGTCGGGGATGTGCAAAACATCCCTGACGGGCTTGCCGTCAGGGATGTTTATCCCTGACGGCAAGCCCGTCAGGGATGTTTTGCACATCCCCGACGGGAATGCCGTCAGGGATGTTATATAATCACCAAAAAAAATATTTTGATTTTATGCAAAATTTACTGTATACAATCCCTACACTACATTCGAAATATATGCAATCCAAATTTCACAACAATCTCCACAACCATCTCGCGTACATTCAAATTTCACAAATTTCGTGCACTTTCCATATCTAGTATCTCGCATACATCCATACACTACATTCAAAATTTTTACAATCAAAATTTCACAAACATTTAAAGAAACTTGCATAAATTCAAATTTCACATTTCATAACTAATATCTCACATATACATCTCATAAAAGATCTATATCCACATGTATAACTCAATAATCAACTTTAAAAACATACATATTTCATACATCAAGAATGCAGTTCAGCAAGGTCCAACTCCAGGTAGGACGAGTATAATCTTTCCTTCTGAGGCTGATTTTCGATAACAAAATAAGTTATCAGCCAATTCTAGGATGTGATATGTGTACCTAAGTTAGAGAGGAAATTACGTCTACCTCACTATAATCAACAAACATCTTGTTTGCCCGCAGATATTCCTCGATCATAGCCACCTACAGAATAAAAGACAGTTAATTAGATGACAAACAGGTCATTTCAGAAATTCCGAGTTCAAAGGGATTTGTTGACAGGATTACGACAAGACGAACCTAGAAGAATTTAGACTGAAAGGGAAAACTTGTCAATTATTCTACCTAATGACAGATGTCTCACCACAAGATTCACAACCACTCAATTATCACCATGCAGCAGCCTGCTGATTTGCATCAATGAAACTCTAAACATGCTCTAAATGTAAAAGTAAATTATGGGGGAACGCAACAATCTATTGGGTTCGAATGCAAAAAGGTGCTCAAACCATTTAAACATGCAAGTGACTCACTTTGGTGTAAAAGTAGCAACGAAAATAAGATGACAGGTTGTGAACAGTGTTGTATACCACGGAATTTGAGACTATACATGTGTCTGTTATGTGTATACAGGCTTTTGGCACAGAAAAATGGTTGCATGCTGCCACTTATGCCTCGGAGATAAATATACAGCAGCAAAGGATGAAAATAGTGCGACGGATGAAAATGGATGGACCAGCTTAAATTTTTAGAACTCAAATTCAAGCCAGTCAGTTTGGACCAGCTTAAAATTTTAGAACTCAAATTCAAGCTAGTCAGTTCTGGAAGAACACATCAACAGAAAAGGCCCTGGAATGTTCTGGAAATATTAAGTTCCACATGCTTGTTATTTTCCTTTATCATATAATTTTTATTATTATAAACATTTCACATATATTATAAGTTTTATTTTGTAGTCCGTGAAGAATTCTTGTAGTAAGTTAGTAACAGGTTAGGTTTGATTATGTCATATGCAAATATACATAAGTGGCCTAACTTTAAAAGGTTAGGTTTGGTTATTGTCATATGCAAATATAAATTAAGAGGCCTGGTACTAAATGGTTAGGTTTGATTATTGTCATATGCAATTATACATTTTCTCATCTTTTAATATACTTAAGAGGGACAAAAAATCACTGAATCTATCTGTCTGGAATAATATTTCATCGGGCATAAATGTTAGAACAACGACCATTCTGTCAAGTTCAAAATTTTGCTGATATCCATCTCAAGCCATACCAAAGACCACTTCAGTTCTATTGCGAGCGTTCAATATTTTTACCTGTATACTTAAGCAACAATATTTTAACACATTACCATTTCCATCTAGTAAACATTTGAATACTCTCTTACTAGTTACAATTATCAATGAGTTTTTCCGTGGATGGATGGTCTTACAATTCATATTAAAAGTTAAAACTTCTGAAATTTGGCATGTCTAACTTTAAATTTGGCATGTCCAACTCTTCACTGCACATTGATGCTTCCATTCTTGTGCCTAGCTAATATATGGATTTGAATAAGAGTTTATGCTATGGATACAATATATCGCAATAACAATGAAGGGTTGATGCTATGGATACAATTTATATCAATGAAGGGTTGATCCTGTGGATATAAAGCTAAAATCAGGCACCAAAGGTTCAAAGTTAAGCCTAGAAGAAATTTTAATACTTTGGGATGAAAATGAAGTACCATTGGAGTTCTTTGTGAATCCGAAAGGCCAAGGGTTACTCTTATTTGGTCGATCCTAGCACGCTTCTCTTTTCGACGCAGATTCTTCTTCTCACCTTTTAAAATTGAAACAACACTTTCTGCGTCTAGAGTCTTTTCAACTTCATCCTCAGACTGTGAAAAAGAATAAGAACATTACTAGATATGACTGTAATAACGAGAATTCACTCCACAGGTAACTGAGTAAACAACTAAGAAAAACACATAGAATTAATTTTCAGATAGTGTGTACCGTTGAAAAGTCAGTATGTAACTATGTAAGAAAAACCAAAGTGATAAGTAAAGAAGAAAAATATTCTTCAGTGATTTCTTTACTGAAAAAGTAGCATAATAAGACAAAGCAAGAAGATTTTCAAGAGGTGGAAATAGATAGAAATAAGATGCATTCCGTGATTATTTGCCTTTTACCAGTATATCCTCGCAATTTTTATGTAAATATTGGAACTTGTTTATGTTTCTTTTAGAGAGAAGGAACGTGTTTTGGCAAAAGCAAACTGCTATTCTCAGTTATAAGAATGCGTGCGCTAGTAAAATTAATAAGAATTTAGAAATTTCATTCTTTAAGTGTAATTTCTTTTTGGTTCATACTTCTCAGAAAGATGGTGACTTGATGGCAAGACATAAATCGTAACACAAGCAGGCCACTCCAGAGATATAACCTCCAGACACTTGATATAGAAGAAGCATTAAAATTGAGCCATGTAAATGAAGTTGCCTTTGTAGATGAAAATTGATAAATGCTGTTTTATAGCAAGAGGAAATAGAGGTACATTAACTTTCATGAAAGAGGATGACAATTTACTTACAGACAACCAGCACATATTGTACTGTAGCAACGGCAAATTTGCAATGTAATGGTATACTACAAAGACAACCAAGTAAGGAGGAATTCTCTACTACAGCAATGTCTCCTTTACAGTCCCCCACAAAATGTTTCTGAAGGATTCACCAAATAGTTATTCTGATCTAGGTTTATGCTGTTCTGGCACTGGTGTTCATACTTTGTTACTATATTAAATGTAGACAGATCAAGAAATGATGGCCATGGCTATGTTTTAGGTGGAAAGCTTTATACAATCTAACATCTTTTGCATGTTGCATGTCCACGGAGGATTTGTGAAGGGGGGAAATTTTTAACGAGGGGGGAATTTTCGCGGGGGGAAATTTTTAACGAGGGGGGAATTTTCACGGGGGAAATTTTTAACGAGGGGGGAATTTTTCACGAGCGGAAATTTTGGAACAACATCGTTGACGGGCTACCCGTCAGCGATGTTCATATCCCGTCAGTGATGTTTACATTGCTGACGGGATCGATAAACTTGTGACGGCAACATCTCTGACGGTTAATCCCGTCAGCGATATAAACATCGCTGACGGCATTATCCCGTCAGTGATGTTGCCGTCAACAATACCTATTTTTCCACTAGTGTTTTGACTCTTCGTATTCTATTTTATGTGACATTAATAGCAATATGAATTTGAATCTTGGAATTAACTACTTTGGTGGTTTTCAAGAGATAACCACATTGGGTAGTTATGAACTCCTTGATGGTGGGAGTCCTATAAAGAGAGTCACTTGTCCACACACATATATATCAATCAAGTCCTGTGATAATAATCCATCAATTCGTTTTGTGTTGTGGAGTGGACAAGGAAGAACAGTTATCGGTAATTCGGTGTTCATTACATTCAACAATGGAAGAAGGTAGGTACCATTTTTATTCAATCTAGCTCGTTTTAGTATGTAAACGAGTGTTAAATTATGTTAATCATGCTATAAGATCTCTTTCACTACCCCCTATTAATCTGATACGTACTAAAGCATATTATTACATATTTACAATCCACGCCACAAATATAAACAAAATATTTGAGAACATAAACCTACATAGTAGCACAAGATGGAGTTGGCTCATGAACTTGATATGTGTACGGGTAGGACGAGTAGGGGGAGTAGGAATCGTAGGATGCAAATGGCGTTTGGCTAGGCCAAATTTGCATCGTTGTCCGTTGATCCCCCTCAAATTCCTTGTACTTCTTTTCGTTTGTTGTAGTTACGCTGACTAGATCTGCAGACCCCATCCGCTTCCTAAGAATCATGGTGAGCTCAACCGAGTCAATTCCATCTCCAACGACCACGATTGTATCCTTATCGACTCCTCCCAACCCTGCTGATATAACACCTATATACATACAATAACATATGATTCAAATATATAAGAAGTTTTATAGGCTGAATGCAAGTGAATTACAGTGTTTGTAGTAGTACCAGGTAGCCCTACGGCTATTTTAAGCGCTTTTGATCGCTTCTTTGCATCTTTCATCGTGACCCGGATCACAATTTTTTGCTGCATGCACAAAAATCGAACTAAGAATCAAATTAACCACAACCATGAAGGAGATAAATACATGAATACAAAACAGCAGACCTTCGCCATTTTGAGTGGAAGGTACGTAGGCTTTGTGTTGTCTATTCCCTCCCTATTGTCGATGTACTTGCTTGTACTTGTAGGAAGCAGAAGCGAACATAATTTCAAAAGGAGTCATTTTTTAATTATGTTTTAGGTCAAGTCAAGTAATGGCGGTGGTCTGTTGCTTGATAGGGTAAACTTCCTAGTTAATTTCAGGGAAAGGAGTTATTTTTTTAATTTTGTTTTAGGTCAAGTCAAGTAATGGCGGTGGTCTTTTTCTTGAAAGAGTAAACTTCCTAGTAGGTACTGTTTTGACAAAGATGTACTTAATATTGATAGTGGCAGGGACTAGGTTCTTGACTCCCTAAATAAATAGCTAATCAAAATTTTCCTTCATTATACGAGAATTGGGATCTTGTTCACTTCTGAAAATAGTAAAATACCACTAATTTTATCACGATTGTTCATTTATTTAGTGAACGATTTTAAATCTAGCATTCACTTATGAATTGCACTTATTCTTGATTTATACTTGATGATAAATCATAATCATCCACTAAATAATTAATGGCGTACAATGAGTGGTCTCTGTACTAGTTTGTTTTAGTGAAGAGGATAAAAATCCATTATATATATTTCTTTAAGATAGGTTAAATTACCGGATTGGTATTAAAAGTAGTACTCAATCACAACAAGGCGTTTAAACTTGTATGATGAGACAAATAGGCCCAAAAGTGAATCTTCCGGCAACCACTTAGGTAATATGTCACATGACGCTTATGTGACATATTTATGATAACATGATAGCTGTAGTTAGCCTAATTCAAACAACTAGAGGGGTATATTTTTATATTGGTATAAAAGTAAAGGGGCTTTTTTTTAATTTGGGAGCTTCTTCTCCTTCTTCTATCAAATTAAGGTTCTCCATTGCTTGAGAACATGGATTCCTTGAGCTCAAGTAATGAAGAACCACAATTTGAAGAAAGGAGGAGTCCCAAATTTTAAAAAATCTATCTTTTTTTTACCATAGTTTGAAAATCACTCCTTCTAATGGGTTGAATGAGGCTAACTACAGTTATCACGTCATCATAAACATGTCACCTAAATATGTGTGACAGATTATCTGAGTAGTCACTAGAAAAGTTGGCTGGAAAATTTATTTTTGGGCATATATTTGTCTCATCATGCAAGTTTAAATGCCTTGTTGTCGCTGGAGATAATTTTAATACATTGTTGGTCATTGGATACTTTTCTAATGCCAATCTAATAATTTAGGCCTTTAAGATATGGGACAAGATGTCTAAAGAATTTATTGCTTAGAAAAATAAACACAAAATATAAGTGGAAGGAACAAGAGAATTAAGTACAGTAGGAAGAAATAATTATGAGGTTCATGTTTGAGTCTTCAACACTAGATACCTCTTATGTTGGATATTTTTGGTTGAGAAAAGATAATTTTTCCTTCATGAATAGTCCCACATGGAATAGTGTTATGAATACAATTAAAACGTGCGTACGACTATACATTATGGGGAACGTTACATAAATTTATGACGAACGTTACCGTATTAATTGTAGGAATTGTAATGGCTTTCTCAACCCTATATATACACCCTTTATTCACATTCGGAATATAACATAAACAATTCTCTCTTCTTCCTCTTGTATCCTCTACATAATAATTTCATCCATATATTGTTGTTATTTTTGGGCAATCGTTCTTCATAGCTAAAGCTCTATTCTCTCGCCCAAGTACAGAGGTCGTCACTTCCGGGGGTTTTCACCGCTAGGGGAGAGAGGATCATCTGCGTCAGGACGATAGACGGATCCTCAATCTTCTAGGGCTGAGTTTACACGACTGCTCCCGATCAGGCCAGACTTTCTTATTATTTTATTTCGGATTTATTCTGCATGCTATAACATTTGATTTGAAAATTTTCCAACAATCTAGAAGATTGAGTAGTTTATAGTTATTGTTTTAAATCTAAAATTATTATTAAAAATTATTACTATTCATCAAAGTTACTATTCACCCGTTTTAATTTCTGTTAGCAACGGTTTTAAAAAACAAATTCGGTTACTGTTCATTTTTTAAAAAATCTGTTTACTATTTACATAGAGCACTATTCATTAGAGAATTATTTTCCTTATTCATAAAAATGCAATTACTGTTCTTTCTAGAAAAATACTATTTCTGTAACTATTTTTCTGCTTTATTTTAATTGTTGTAATTAATTATAATTAATCAATAATACTGTAGCAATTAAGTATTCACGACAGTTACTGTAGCAATTAAGTATTCACGATAGTTATTGCAGTAATTAAGTATTCACGATAGTTACTACAGTAATTAAGTATTCATGAAAGTTACTGTAGAAATTAAGTATTCATGACAGTTGCTGTAGCAAATTACCGTGTCATTTATAAATAGTAAAGTGTAAGTATTGTTCAAAATGCAAACCACTATTCACCAGTACTATTCATGCATTTATTGTTCACGGTTACTGTTTATGTATTTATTGTTAATAGTCACTATTCACATATACTGATAAGGAACTAGAAATCATTATGTGAAACGGTTCAAGTTTTCTTGGATTAGTTGGTGTCTAAGGTAAGGTTTAGGGGTTGTGTAACGTGTTCCGCAAGGAACGAAATACTTAATTGATCTTTAATGTCCCTCTAGTATTATCCTTACCTAGCTAAACTATCCGGGTAAAACTTTGATCCTTTCACTTTAGAAGTTTTTGGTTAGGAGCTGATCTAGTTAAGTTTCTGATCTAGTGGTATTGACAAAAACCTTTTCATTTATAGCTTTGTTTTACAATCATATGCATTATTATTAATTTATTACAAATTATTCGATATGTGTTTTCCATATAAATAGGGCTTATACGTCATATGCTTATGTGATTGTATTTATTTGATAATTGTTATAATTTGTGACGTCTCTGGGTTCACACAAGGCTGTAGTCAAAGGTGAAACCAGGAATATCAAACCTCCCATGCATGCATCTTCTTTTCGGAAACCCAATTCTTAGAAACTCCAAAGTTAAGCGTGCTTGGCTTGGAGAAATTCTAGGATGGGTGACCCCCTGGGAAGTTTTTCCAGGGAGCACGTGAGTGAGAACAAAACGTGCTGAAAAGACATGTGGTGGTTTGTGAGGCCAGTCCATCAGATCTAATAGCGTACCGACTCCGGGATTCCGGAGCGGGGCATTACATAATTCCATATGAAACATTTTATATTCAAGCATGAATAAGAGGACCGAAATTATGAGAATAATTCATATGCAATTTAAATTGGAAGGTCTCCTTTGTAGGTAATAAATTTACAACCTCTTATAATACGAGAATTTAAAATTTATGCATATGAAATATTAAATATACTTTAAGATATGAAATCATATTATAAGGTTCTCTTGAATGTTTTGCATGTAACTATTAGTAATTTCATTCATGTATGTGCATATCCATGCATGTAAATATATAACTGCAGTATTTTAGATCCACATTAGTTTGAAATGTTCAGATATTAAGGGCAAATTCTAACCCTATGTAGTTACATCTTTAGACATAGACTACGATCATTTATTATCATAGACTACAATCTTTTTATGCTAACATGTTTTAATGACCTATAATTTTAATAGTGACTAGAAAGATTAATTTTTATAGCTCTTTATTTGACTACATGTATAATGTTTTTTCTTGAGATTTTAGGAAATGATTAAAGTTGATATAAATATGCTATGTCAACTAGTATGCCTAGTTACAAGAGATGTGATGAATCAATGTCCTGAAAAATCAAATCAAGAGGTATGTCGTATAACTTCTATCTATATGATGAATAAAAGTTATATTAAAATTAGTCCGTCAAATAATTAAATTGCTATTAGGTTCCCTTATCCTTATAATGAAAGATTGATTTGAAAAAATAACTTAAACAAGAAGGGGACCTATTGTCAAACAATATGAAGGTCTAATTTTAAAATAACTTGATAAATATATACAATGCATGTTAGGCAAAGTTGTGATTCTAGACTTTGTAAAGTCTAAAATAAATCTTGCTGACCCATTAACAAAGGGTCTTCTAGAAACCCTCATGAGTCGGTTATTGTGAGCATGACCTTTAACGCTCAACCCGTTTTGCTTAATAGATAAAGACGTATTGTGTGTGTTTTCGTCAATAACTGATTAAAGGGACCTAATTCAAGGCCTAGTCTATTATGTCCCTCAGGTCCTCTAGAAACCCTCATGAGTCGGTTATTGTGAGCATGACCTTTAACGCTCAACCCGTTTTGCTTAATAGATAAAGACGTATTGTGTGTGTTTTCGTCAATAACTGATTAAAGGGACCTAATTCAAGGCCTAGTCTATTATGTCCCTCAGGTGACGATGAACTCACTAAGAAAAGGTTCAAAGCCGAAAGCTACCTCTCCCGAATTCACGATACGAAAGGTTGTCTAATCTATATTTATTTTGTGATTTATTATTTTATTTATTGTTTTTGAATTTTCAGTCAATATTGTCTTTTGGGGGACTGTTGGATATTTTGTTGGAGAAAAGGAAATTTTACCTTAATGAATAGTCCCACATGGAATAGTGTTATGAATACAATTAAAACGTGTGTAACGGCTATACATTATGGGGAACATAACGAAAATTTATGACGAACATTATCGTATTAATTGTTGGAATTGTAATGGCTTTCTCAACCCTATATATACACCCCTTATTTACATTCGGAATATACATAAACAATTCTCTCTTCTTCCTCTTCTCTCCTCTGCATAATATTTTCGTTCATATGTTGGTGTTATTTTTGGGCAACCGTTCTTCATCTGAGCTGAAGCTCTATTCTCTCGCCTGAGTACAAAGGCCGGCCACTTCCAGAGGTTTTTATCGCTAGGATAGAGGATCATCTGCGCCAGGTGATAGGCTGGTCCTCAATCTTTTAGGGCAGTGTTTGCACGACTGCTCCCGATCAGGCCAGACTTTCTTATTATTTTATTTCGGATTTATTCCGCATGCTATAACCTTTAATTTGATAAATTTC